GCAGCGGCAGGATGTTTGAATATAAAATACCAGGTGTTTGAGTTTAATACGCGGCTCGCTATCGCAAGGTTAATTGAATCTAAACGTCTGTCGTGAAAATTGAACGATAATACCGTAAAAACGAACCGGTGGACGTTGAGCTTGATGGAATTGTGTCGCGATGATTTGCTGACACGAATCACTCGGATCAAATTTCCTGGATACAAAAGGAAATCAGAATTTTCTCCTTCCTGTATCTTTTATATTTTATATATAAAAAAGAAAAATATATACGAAATTGATTAAAAATCCATCGATATATCGAACATCGTTTCTGTTCAACGGAACAGAATTTAATTTGACGTGCTGTTTTTGAGAAATGAAAAACGGAAATCGTTTCAAAGATTTATATATTTTGTACAGAAAATAGGTTAACTCGTTTTCCCCTTATTGAATTAATCCTCATCAGTGTCAAAATCCTTATGCATTTATTGACGCTAAGTGGGAAGGCGCGGTGTGAAAACACAGTTTACCGGCACGGATCAACTTGGCTAGATTCGAATTAAAACGGATCCAAGTAGGTAATTACATCGTCTTAATTAATTCTTCAGACTGTCGGCGGATTGTAACCGTGTCTCTTCCCATCGTGTCGGTGGCACGAACATCCCCGACGACGACGACGACGACGACGACGACTTGTCACGTCGAGGACGAAGCGAAGTTATTCCGTTCTCGAGAATGGAAACGTTTTCTTCGGGGCGAGGAACGTTAAATTGCACGTGCAGCACAATTGCACGACGCGACACACGCGACGATTTTATGCGTGACTACTAAAAGGGATGAAAGGGACGAAAGGGTAAAGAGAACCCGGAATCTTAACGATCGAACGATTTTACTTTTATTTTCTTTCTTTTTCAACGCGACTCCTTTGAAATATTTTCGAAAATTATTCCCCTCTGATTTATTCCATACTAATTTTGAACTAATTTTTTTCTTTTTCCAGAAAATTTCCGGATCAATCATCGCACGGTGAGAAACGGGGACGCGAGAAGATCGCATTTGGAGCGCGGGATAATAATAAAAATTGCGAAAAGGTTGGAAACTCGAAAGGAAGGGAAGTGGAAAGCTCTGTAGCAGAAGTGTCGCCTCGATGTCGCGCAATTTTTCGATCAACTTTCTATAAATACAGTCATTTGTCACTCATCGAGAGTACGGAGAGTCGAGAGAGAAAGAGAGAGAGAGAGAGAGCTCTGGGATGCTCGATAAATCATCATTGATTTAAAACGTCCCCTTGAAAAAAGTGCGATGTACCACCGATAAAATTTGATTTACCGTATCGAGGGCGTAGCGTACTCTCTACGGTGGCTCATACGTGTCTTATATTTATTTTAGAACGTCGTCAGAAAAATTACGGTCTACCGGTTGGAGCTCGACGCCGTCTGGGGACATCGGTGGATCAATTTTTAAAGCCGCGCCATGAAAACCGGCGTGAAGGGTCGCCGGCGAGAACAATGACGATGCTGATGCCAGACAGTCGGTCGCAAATTATCCCTGCGAGGTATTATTAATTAAATAGGCTTGTTAACTCGCGTCTCCCGACGCGAAAAAATTCTACGCCCTGTTATAAATTGTTGACGTGTGCCGAGATATCTAATTTCTGAAAGAAAAAGAGAAAGAAAAAAAGAAAGAAAGGGAAAAAATTGCATTCGATTTCAGTGGAACTGTGTGGCGTTAACCCCCCAAAGGGTGTGAATTTGCATGAAAAAGTAAGTCGAATACGTGGAGTAATATTTTTCATACGAGGCTTTTTTTTTTCTTCTCCGAATAAATCGATGAAGCTCGCGTACATTTACATGTAATACCATTTACATCTACGGTTAACGGATAATTGAAAATTGCATCAAATTTGATATATTTTAATCTTCTCTATTATATCGCATTATATTATATTGCGCACGATGAATAGATTGCTGATGTTTATACAAATTCATTGTTTCGTTAATACATAACCGAATATGATTTATTTTGCGTACTAAATATTTTAATGAGAACTCCACTTTAGATATTTCATACATATATATGCATTATAAACGCTCTTGTACACGTTCGCCCATTCGAATCTCCATAAGTGAATAAACAATCGCTATTTATTAATAAACAATTAAATAAAATTCCATGTATGGAACTTGTTATTCCGTAAAAAACGCGGAATATGAATCGAACACTTATTATTACAAGTAATATCCGTATATACTAAAATGCAATAAAAATTAATCCAAAACGTAAATTTGCCAAACATACTAATTTTCAATCTGGATATGTATAAAAACGTTTTCACAATTTATTCGACTTATTTTTTTCACGTAGCTTAACTTAACCCTTCTCCATCTCGCGGCGAGCAAACATTCTAAGAAAATACGAGTCGTTATGCGAAACCAAGGCGATCGCGTTGAAATTTCTAACGTGGAATAGAGGAGATAATTTCTCTAAGACGGCACGTTAATGCAATTCGAAAAGGAGAATTCCCATAGTTCGGTGGGGCGGTGGGCGTGTTTAAAACGTACGACATCCCACCGGTTGAAGATATCCGGAGAGGAGGGTGAAAATTACACGATGCACAGGTGTGCAACGCGGAGCGTAAAAGCTGGAGAACGGAAAGCTGGGCCCCGTATTCTCTCGTAATGAACGTATGACGCACGAGCTATATGGCCACGAGAAGAGAGGGGGCGTAATTTCAAGAGTAAATTAAAATCAAAGGATTGTACATCGCGATACACCGCGTGTCCTCGCCCTAACAAAAGAACAGAAAAATTCGAACGAGAGGTTAATGTCCCGACCATAAATTCGTATTGAATTTTAATCCCTTTCCTGGGGATCGTGCGCGCCTCGTTTCATCCCCTTCGAAAATTATTTCGTCGTGAAAAATTAACGAATGCTGGCAAATTCGCGGGGGAAGAGGAAAAAAAATTGTACATCGTCGAAAGATAGATCCCAATTTTTTTTCCGCGAAGAGATACACGGATCGATAGAGCAGGAGGCAGGCGGTTGAGCAGATCCCTTTTGAAATCGGAATAAACGCGGTTCCATGGAAAAAAAAAAAAAAGAAGAGCGTCGAGGGACCGAGCGGAACCCTCGTTTTCGCGGAACGGGCATATCCATTGGAACGAGCGCTCGTCAAGAGCTGTCAAATCTCACGAGATCTCCTTTCGCGCGCTATTTATAGAGAATTCTCTGGTTCGACGGTGGCGAAGCTCGGTTGCGCGGCAGCTCGCGCGTGCATCGTTCTGCATTAGCCCTCTCGTTTCCTCCATCTTCTCCATCTTCTCTTTGCTCCTTCCGCGCGCGCCGCGCGTCGCCTTTCGAGTGGAGCGAGTGCAAAACCCTTCTGTCCGGGCGTACACATAATTACCAAAGTTAATTAGGGCTTTGGGAGATGAAAGAGAGTGAGGAAGAAGGGGAGGGTGGCGCGACCGGGTTTAGAGGTATATTAGCGGAGCGGAAAGAGGGCAAGGTTAAAATGCGTTGCGAAACGACCGAAATTGGGCGAGGAAGAAATCAAAAGGGGGGTTTCCCTCTGATTTGCGAGTCGGTATAATTTTAAGGAAGAGGAAGTGATACACCCTTAAAGAAGGGCAAAGAAGATACGGAGTTTCTCTTTTCGCAAAATTTCTCGAGCGAAAAGAATCCTCTTCCTTTTTCTACCACATTGTTCTTCCACATTGTTTCGATTTTTCTTTCCGTCGGAATGCTAGAAAACGCGGACGAAATTTCGTACGAATGGAAATAGCCGAAGTTGTTGCAATTCTCGTTCCCCAGACGGGAAAAAATGGAAAGATAAGACCAAACGGGGAGGTCGAGCGGCCGCCCGACCGTGTAAATTTCACTTTTGCCCGCGAATTTTATTTCGACCCTGCTGTTTTCCCAACGACTGCGCTTCGACGCGACCCGTGTTTGCACAAAGAAGTAGCCGCGTTGCACCCTTTCCATACCGCCAATTTTCCCCCGGATCTCTCCCCTATTTCGCAGTCACCGCGCATCCCGGCTCATCACCTCGCCACTCGACCGCTCGTGCAATTGGTTTTTCGTGTTCCACTCCACTCCGGTGTCCTCGAAATCTCTAATTTCGCGTTTTTCACTCGACCTGGCCAAGTCGAATGTCCCGTGAAAAGCATCAGCCTCGTCATCCGACAGAAACGAAACCTTCTATCCCTTCGTTATCCCGCCGCTAACGCGAATTCTCTTTTATCTTTCTTTCTTTTTTTTTTTGCGGTCGAAAAACGAATGGAGAGAGAAGAACGAATAATCGTAATCGATATATCGTTTCGAAGAAACGAGGATGGAGAAACGAAGCGGTGAAAAGAAGAGGGAAGGAGTTACGACACAAGAGCTGGTTTACCTCGATGTCTGTTTATACTCGCGAATTCCACTCGAATTTCCGGCATTACGGGGAAACTTGCCTGTCACCCGGATAACATTCCTCGAATCACTTGCACCCCTTTCCGATGACAAAAGAAGAAGAAGAAGAAGAAGAAGCACAGCCGTCAAAAACAACGCCGACGAAAATTCCCCGCGAATTTTTCGGCACGTGAGTCGATCGATCGGGAATCGAAGAATCGCGTTACACGCTCGAGAGAGGTCCGCACGTCTTCTGCACTGCCGCGAGCGGGATTAGCTTCGTGGATCGATCGGCGAAGAGGATCGATCGGTGAAGGGAGAGAAGCGCGTGCATATGGGCGCGTGGTACCGGTATGGGCGTGTAAGAAGCACTAAATCCTGATGCCCCGTCCGCGGCTAGCCGGCCCCTCTAACAATAAACTTAGGTGAGAGACGAGGGAGACGGGCACCGTACGCAGACACCGTAGAGGAAACGGCACGCGTGACAAAGCGGCGCTCGTAGTACGCGCGGCGTGCGTGCGTGAGCCACACTAGCTCCGC